AATTGATGTTAAAATTGTTTAGAATTTTGCATAACTCACAGGTACGTAAAACTCGTAACACTCACTACTATTTCCTTGCTCGCAGCTGTACATAGATCTACATATGAAAATTCTATAATTTCAAACGTTTATTGTCATAAATCTCTTGTTAATATATATATATACAATCCAATAAATGTATATATATATACATATGTATTTTTAATTATCAAAATCTTAAATAAAAGCCTTATATGTACATACACTAACTTTTCATATAAAACATATCTACATATATTTTTTGCGATTTATTTATGGTGTGATCGCCATAGTTTCGTCCTAAAAGTAAAAGAGTTTTTGAGATACAATTAAATGCGTCATTAATTAATACAGATAAATATAGATTTAATACCTAATAGGGTTTACTCAACGGTTTTAACCGAATAAGTGTATTATAGTACGGCGTAATTCCAGGCAACACAACTGTAGTAATCAAGTAAGTCTTCGAATGATTAGTTTCAATTAATCTGCCTAGAAGATTCTTGCGATAAAGAGTCTCACAAATTACAACTTTTGAACCATTTTAAAACTACCAATTTTTGTATATATAATATTTTCCGACAATGTGCACAGCAATTTTAAGTATTTCGCGTTCTTTTGAAATATGTAGTTTTTTTTTTTACTCCCAAGATGTAAATGTATTTACATTTGTATTAGACGACTGTGAGCTGAAAATGTATTTTGTATTATTTGTATAAATATATCAAAATTATTGAAATAATACAAACCTTGAGTGCGGATAAAATAAATTGTTCTACCTTTCAAAAGTTGCTAATAAACGATTCATATGATTTCAGCTGTCTTTACAACTGTGTTGCTTCTCCAGTACTCTTTTTCAGTTGATAGAAGCACTAAATTTGCAACGACCGCATTTTTTTTATTTAAAAGATACATTTTTAGTGGTATTTATATTTCACATTTTCTTGTTTTCGCTCGTAAAATCGTGTTAACTCTTTCAGGCATATTGCACATTGTATCGCCTCTTTCACCTTACGTAAGTGATACGTTATTGCGCTCACCTAACACATGAGTACGAACAGTATAAGATGAGTGACTAGCAAACAAAATCCAGAAATACATACAGATACTCTCGGTAAAACTCACACCAATATGTTCACGTGCATATGAGAATTTAGTAAAATTKTTGAGTTCATGACTGCGGTGAGATCGCTGGCGGGCGGTTTATTAGTACAGCGGCAACTTGTAGAAAATTGTTGAAGACTATTAGAACGAGCGTTAAAAAATCGGCACATCCGCCAGGGCAATGAAAACCTTTGAGGAGGTAATGCTTATTCCAATTAATTTCACGCGTCGTTTCGTGGTCATCCTATTCAACACCAGCAATACCAAATCTATTTGTAAATATACTAGTCACATTTCGTGCATTCAAAGCTTTACTATGTTTGTGACTCCAACAAATGATTTATATGAACATATGTTGAATATGAGTAAAACAAAAGGGAAGAGAACTTTACCAATGGTGGTTACTTGTTTGGTGAGGGCTGATGACTTCCGATACCAAATATTCGACTATGAAATTATAAGGTTTTGTGAATATGGAGTCTGTTGACTTAAAACGGCGCAAACGATGACATGCCACGAGTTATGCACAATCTCCCCGTAAGTCTCTTCCACATGTGACTACATATACTGAAATTTGTCAACTTCCGTAAAATTTTCTTCAATTTTTTTTTTATTATTAAAATATTAATTTTGCACTTTTTTTACCTGAACGATGTATTCGCTCCAACACTTCGATAACACAATTGGATGTTTGGATGTTACAAAAATTGTGCACAAATATGCTATGTTCAGGGAATCATAATCAGTGTTGCCAGATTTTCATATGTACCAGAAAGCTATCTTTTGGCATGTTATAATGTATTAAAAAACTTTTTTAGTTTGAATTGTCATATAAGTGCTAATACACCTGGTTAAGTTTAAATATAATTTAGTTTATATAATTAAAGATAAAGTTTATTGGCGAATGCAAAATTTTTTAATGGATATTTATTTTTATGCTTTTTTTTTTTTAATTTTGCGTCAAATTCTGACCTAAATTTAAAGATTTAAAATGCAAAAATAATTAATTTATCTTTCATTTATACAATCGTATCAATAAATTTTTGAGAAAAATTACATTAATTAATTTTTGAACCCCTAGCGTTGACGCCGTGTTCATTTAGGTATGCGCCATACAATGTCTATGAACATTATTGACAGTAATGACAGTATGTATCGGATTGAAAAAAAGAGCAGAAAACGAAAAAGTGTACTAGGCTACTTATAGAAGATAATAAATATTTTTAATTTKATTGAAAATTACTCATAACAATATTAAAACCGTAAAAATGTGTTTATTACAAAAGTAATAATATTAATGTTTAGTAATAGCAATGCTAACAATTTATATATATTAATTTGCGTTTCAAATATTTTTGTGTGGCAACACTTGAAAAACCGTTCGTCAAAAACGACGAGCCTCGTCTTGCTTCGCAGGCAGACTTTCGTACACTTTGTATTTGCCGTGGTATTTAATCGAAAATGTTTGCGGCGGCGGTAAGATGTAGCAAAACATTTACTCGTCAAATTTTTGTGAATATCTGTAGAAATTCATTGAGAAAGAAGTTATTAAAAAGGGAATTCAATTGTGAAAAATATCCTAAATTAAAAATTACTTAATAATGGTGTTGAAAGCATTAAAATTATGTACTAAAAGTGTTGAAAGATATTTATTTGCCAAGTGAAACATTAAATAAAATTGCGGAGTAAAATTGAGGCGCGAGTAATTATATTATAAAGAAAGCAAGTGAAATGTAAAACTGTAAAGTAATTGAATTTTATAAGAAAAAATCTGTATTCAATAACTGAACGGAGATATAAAACAAAGGCCAACATAAAATTGGTTGCTTTGGGTTTTGGTGACGGTGCTGATGTAAGTGTAATTTTTCATATAAACGAGATTTGGCTCAGTTTTAGGTACTTCATTGTATATGAAGAGCTAAAAAATATAAATTGTGTTGAAATAACCAGGGAAAAGTAATATTTTCTAAAGTTTATTAGCTGCAAAGTTGAAAGAAAAAATACATACATTTTTAGGTTAGGTCAATTCAATTGGTTTATATACGTCGTTTTGTTCCTCTATTTCACCTCCGCTGTCGTCGTATATATGTATACACGCGCGCTCGTGAATATTTAGTATACACATCCACATCTACAATATATGTGTATAGAGTTCAAATTCATACATAAATATGTATACAGTGAGTGAGTGAGTGGTTATATATATATATAGATGTATATGAACATTTGCCTTCCTGACAAAAACGTATGACTGGCAACGACGATAAAGTCAAMGGCGACTTGCTGTGTTGGGGCGAATTTTTTTCGTGTAGATACAAATACACTCACACATATACAAACACGACGGACAGGACCGTTGCCATATTACAGAACTAGGAAGAATTTTGAAAGTTAAATTCCGTTTAATTATAAATAAATACAAATTAATAAAATAAAAGTATTTTACATATAAAGTTGAAATGTACTTAAGAATAAATGTGATGTTCGAAATATTTTGAATAACGTTTGTAGGTTTAAAAGAATGTTGGGATTAAACGAAAAACTGTAAGTGGCAACAATAGCAAATCGTTTTGTTGTATTCGGACATATTCGGGTGTTCAGTAGTCGTACGCCTTTTAGTGAAAATTAAAAATAAAATTAAAAACAAAATAGAAAAGAAAATATAGACAACAAGAATGCTGAGAACGACCTGAAATTTTACTTTTATTTTACTCCTTTGCTTTTATTGTAATTCCGTTTTCAATTGTTGTTTATTTATGGTTATTTGCAAATTAAAGATAATAGAGACGGAAATTGAATTGATGAAAATATTCAATAAAAGTACGAAAGCGCAAATAAACTTTATTGACYTAAACCTCCTTAAGCTAACAAAAAACAAGATCACAATAGAATTACATGTTAATCTGCATATTCAGTATTATATATTCACTCGACATAGCTTTCTTACAACTTATTATAGGTATACTATGTACCTTTATAATTAATTGTAGCTACGAATGCAAATTATATTATACTTACATATCGAAGATAAGATACCCGCAAAAATGGAGGGAAACCCTATGCATGCCCACTCTATCCCGCCGTAAGAGGTACGACTAGTGGCCATTTTCAGTTCATTTAAGCACTGCTATATGAGGAGCTCTTGTTTGGATGTGCAGTGTATATGCCTAGTATGCTTCACCCAGTACAGTACAATGACGCGGTATTCGCGGGCGCATACTTCATATTTGTATGCAGCTTCACCACCCCATTCGCCACCAATTTCCTTTCTTCTCCAAGCAAGTCTTAAAATCGCATTCAAATATTCCACTTTGACTACCGTCGGTAGTCAGCCAGCCAGTCAGACAGCCACAGTTGTCGTCGTCGTCACTGCTGCTGACCCATTCAAAACAATAACAAAAACAAGGTACTCAAACTACTTGCACACAAACAATCTCATTTTCAAGGATTGTGTCATTTTATTTCTCTTTTACACTCATTCGTATGATGATGTCAATACTAGTRTCGCTCACTGAAGTTGTTTCACTTTAACAAACGTGTTTGTTGCGTTTGTATGGCTCGGTTCGTCGCTTTCTCTTGTTATATACGAGCGCATAATCAGCAAAAGCTACGAAGTGTTTGTATTTTCCTTATCTTTGCTAGTACAGTTTACAATAATAAAATATTCAAATACTCAGACAATGTTTAATCGATTAAAATTGTGATATTTTTATTTTTCAAAAATTATTCAATGCTTGTGATGCACTTTTGATAGTTTTTCCTGAGTATTCAAATATATGAATCTTCTCACCATGATATTTGGGCACATCTTTCTTACCAACTGTGCAAAAGAAAATTTCGCCAGCGATGCAATATACATATGCATACATATATTATATTGATACAGGCATCAATGTAAATAAAATTTGACATGCCTACTATATAATAAAAAATATTACCGGGCCGCAAATATTATAATTTAAATGAATAACCAAACTAATCGAAGTGAAATATGCATATAAATCATTATTTAAGTTTAATGTCTTGTTGTTTTTTTTTACAAAATACAGCTGGGAGGGTACAATTTTGATATCAAGAAACAAAGGGAAGAACTTTCTGACACTAAAATATGTTGTACATATTGAAAATTTGTGTCTGATTGCCTTCGATTTTTCTACAGAGATTGGGGGAAATAAATTTGACATGCTTTTTTGTTTGTATACAGTTTTGAAAATCATCAGTCAAAATAGTGTTGGTTATGAACCATGTTGTATGGAATTTTATATTAGTATATGGACATAAAAATGTTTACTATCTCATATTATTGCACGTCACACAAGTTCGTATATTTATATATATTTGATTTTTTTTTTGTTTTAAATGCTTTTGTCATATGTACATATATTAATCGCAAGCAAGTGCACGCATACGAGCAGGTCAGACTGATGACGACGGATTTGGGCGAACGATATTATTGGTGAACAAGGTGAAGTTTGCGTGKGTGGGGGATGGGGCTTGGTATTTTCTCGTCGCCGTCGAGCTCCAATGGTTTGCTATTTTGCCTACCTTTTTTTTCTACTCCCTCCATAGTGACGCTCTTTATGAGTACATTTTGTGTTATATGTGCATATGTAGCGTAGTGTGCATTTTGAAATATTTTGTGCCAATTTGGAGAGTGGTTGATTTATTTTTGTATAGAATTGCAATGCATACCTACAAATATTCAAATATTATCAAAATTRAAAAGATATTATTAGTGTAATGAAATATTTTTCCTTACTAAAAATGTGAAACTAAATTTGCTGTAAAACTCCTGTAGAGATGTAATAACCAAAYTTACTCGCGGACTAGTTTATATACGGCTAAGAAACGTCGATTCGGCAACATTTCTCAAAATGATTTCTACCGCTTAAACAACAACACCAATATATTTTCTTCTATTACAAACAAGATTTTTAGAATAATAATACCCAGTAAATGWGAGTTAATGAAATTTAAAGTTAAAAATGTTTATGGGGTAAACCAAGATTCATGGAAATTATAAAGTTTCTTCATTTCTATCTTTGTGTTAATATGTATACAAATTTTTTAACTTATTTTCATTATATATTCATGGTAAAACGAATGAAACGTTATTTTTGTTTTCTTTACAGATTTAGGATTTCGAAAGCTGCTTGTTTTGCCAAATATATTTCAAAATTGCCTTCTATGAGTTGACGGCCGCTCACAGCGAAATGAAAAGGCAATACAGTCAGCGTATGCCAATAGAATCAAAGCCGCAGCAAACATATAAATATCGTTTAAATAATAAAAAAACCGTATTAATTTCCATTGGAGTTGATGAGAAAGCAAAGTATTATTGGAATTAACAATTAAAAAAGAAAAAAAAAAAACATCGGTAGTTTTCGACAGAAATCATCATCTCAAGTGTTATCTCAAAAGTTGACAACAATTGAAATAATACATTAAAAGCGTATAGACTACAATAAAAATTAAGTGCAGCAATTGCAACCAAAATGATGAAACGTACGCGTGTGGATGAAGTCCAATACGGCACGCGCCCTGGTCCTGGAGGTGTGGGTGGTAGTGGCGGTGGAGGAACTGGCGGAACCATAGTGGGGACCTCTAATCCCGGTAATACAGTTAATATCGGCACTATTGTTCCCGGTAGCCATGCTAATACCAGTTTAAGTGTCGGTTTGTCTGGAAGTAATGCAACTGGTTCAATCCCACATCATCGCATTTTAATACCACCACATGGTGGAGCACAGACAATTGCTTATTTGCCATCAACAACACCAGCAGCGACAAACATGAAAGGTTCTGGTGGAATGGGGGAAAGTAGTAGCGTTAGCGGCAATTCCTCGAGTCATGATAATATTGGAGGATCCAGTGGCAATGCTGCGCAGTTAACTGGAGGAACAGTTGTAACTTCAGGTGGCGGAACCGCGGGGACTATCAATGCAGGAACTGTCCACACACAAGCTGTACAGTATTCTTCAACTTGTAAGTAGATTAAAAATATAAATTTATTTTTGTATATTAATTTTATTTAGGTATTAAAAAAAAGTGTGGATTTTTTGTATTTATTTTATTTATCCAGCCTACAATGTTACAACAGTATCTTCCAGTGTTGGTGGTAATATAAAAGCAACTACAGATGGACCCGTGCAAATTCATGTAACCGGTGGTGGTGCAGGCAGTAATGTACAGAACTCTGCATCGCAGCCAAATTCTCTGCGAACACGTACAATCAGCTCTTCTCAAAATATTACAGTAGGCAGTGGAACTGCACTGAATGCACCCCAACCTTTGGCAGTGGTACCACCGTTACCAACAACATCGGGTCAACAGCAAGGTCCTCCACAAGCTGGTCAGCCACAAGGTGGTCCTCCACGACTTAAAGTGGAGGATGCACTTAATTACTTGGATCAAGTAAAGTTCCAATAYGCTGATCAGCCACAAATCTACAACAACTTTTTGGATATAATGAAAGAATTCAAATCCCACTGCATTGATACACCCGGTGTAATTCAACGGGTGTCAACACTTTTTAAAGGCCACCCAGAACTGATTTATGGCTTTAATATGTTCCTGCCAGCCGGTTATAAAATCGAAATACACTCAGATGAATTAGGCGTTTCAGTACCCGTTGTATCAATGCCATCATCGTCGCCAAACAGCTTGCACGGTAGTATGTCTAATTTACCCGGAAGTGTTGGCAATATCCAAACACCACTAATACTTAAATCAAATCAGAGTAATTCAAGTAATACTTCGAATACTATAGAACTCCAACAAATACATGGTACCAGTAGCGGTAACGCAAGTGTGGCTGTCAATCTGATGACACACGGTGGCGCATCATTGTCGCAAACAACAATTCATGCACTACAGTCACCGGCTTCACAGTCTTCACCAAGTGGAGCGGGAATGACTCAACAACATGCTCAAGTTTCTGTATCGCCTGCGCCATCTTCCGTTGCCCAAATTCAGAGTGTGACAGTGGCACCAGTTGCGGCGGCACATTTACCACAAAATTTTTCAAGAGATCGAGAGCGTCCTCCTATAGCTCCGGCCATAGTGACTAGTAGTATAGGTGGCGGTCCACCCACACTTAATGCGCTTGGCGAATTAAATCCACAAATAAACAACGCTGTCAGTACTGGCAATATTGGTAATACTGGAGGCAATGCACACCATAATCTCCACCACATTCAACAGGCGCATCAGTCATTACTAATGGGGGAAACTGTAGGCCAACAAAATCAGCCGGTCGAGTTCAATCATGCGATATCGTATGTCAATAAAATTAAAGTGAGTTATTAACAACAATATTAATTAAAACCGAAAAAACGTAATGTTTTTCCTCTCAACTTTTCAGAATCGTTTCCAGAATAAGCCGGAAAAATATAAAAAATTCCTCGAAATTCTTCACACTTATCAGAAAGAGCAGAAAGTGATTAAAGAAGGTAGTCCCAATCAAGGGAAAACATTGACCGAACAAGAGGTGTATACACAGGTTGCAAAGTTATTCGGTCAGGATGAGGACCTCTTGCGGGAATTTGGTCAATTTCTTCCGGACGCCACGAATCATCAAGGTGCGCAATATATGTCCAAATCGCATAATGACCACAAACGTTGCAGCTCTAACATAGCTGTGGGCCCAATGGCTAACAGTGTTAGTGGCGCTATAAGCGTTGGAGGCGGTAGTGGCCATCACATGGCTATGCCATCAGCTTCTAGCTCTCCGCTACATCTCAATAGTGGTGCGACATTGTCACAGATTGGTGGTGGTACGCATGCAACGGTATTAGGAAACTTATCTGCTGTGAATACGAGTGTGAGCATCAAATCGTACAACAACACCCAACAGCAGCCTCAAAATCATGTGATCAGTGCGAATGCAGTTGGAGGCCGTGGTGGAGACGTAGATTATGCACATCATGTAACGCTTCATTCTAGTAGCGGTGTTCATTTGAAGGTGATACATGATGGTGTTCACCACGATTTAAATGTCGGCTCAAATATGCGCAACTATGAGAAGGACACGCACCGCAGCAATCACCACGCTATTACGGGTCTGAAATATTCACACGGAGCAGGCTCCAATGTTACTGGAGTTACCAGCCACTCTTCGAAGAAGTCGCCAAGCTACAATTCCGGATTTGGTGCGATAAGCGGCAGTGGCAATGCATCAATGAGTAGTAGTAGCGGAATTGATCGCACGTCGATTAATATGAATTATTCGCACCAAGTACTCGGTCACTTATCGGCAACGCGTCGTCCAGCAATCGATGATGGCGGTAGTGGCAGTGGCGTCATGGGTGGTGGACCACCGCCGCCTAAAAAGCACAAGCCGATTTGTAAGGACATCACGTTTTCGGAGGCTTCGCGAAAGTGTACCATATCCGACGCGGCATTCTTCGATAAAGTGCGCAAAGCATTACGAAATCCTGATGTATACGACAACTTTTTGCGTTGTCTTACACTATTCAACCAGGAGATTGTATCAAAGACTGAACTGTTGAATTTGGTAACGCCATTCTTAAGTAAATTCCCAGACCTACTTAGCGGATTTACTAAATTTTTGGGACAACCCGTGTCGCAAATGTCTTCGAGCGGTAGCGGCGGTACTGGCACCGGCATATTCGGTTTGGAAGAAATACCAATGCAATCTGCACATCGGCAAAGTGGCGGCCTAAGTAATTCAGGTGCAATAAACGATCGTCAAGGCGGTGAATTGGCACAGGATATCGATTTGACGTCGTGCAAACGACTTGGTGCATCCTATTGCGCCTTGCCACAGTCCATCGTACCGAAGAAATGTTCTGGCCGTACAACGTTATGTCGTGAAGTTCTAAATGATAAATGGGTGTCATTTCCAACTTGGGCCAGTGAGGATTCGACATTTGTAACTTCACGTAAAACACAGTTCGAGGAAACCATTTACAGGTGGGAGATTCAAAATTTTAATGCATTTTATAATTTTTTTTGTCATTGAGTGCATTTCATTCTCGTACAAAACACATAATACGTAGATTCTTTATTTAAAAATTCACTTTTTGTATATAAACAAACAAAAAATAAACACTAAATAAATATCTAAACCACAAAATTCTAATCAAAGGAATATTCACAGGACGGAAGATGAACGTTTCGAATTGGATGTGGTAATTGAGACTAATAGTGCAACAATTCGTGTACTCGAGGGTGTGCAGAAGAAAATGTCACGTATGTCACCGGAAGATTTGAGCCGATTTTATTTGGACGATTACTTAGGTGGCACCTCACAGACTATTCACCAAAGGGCTATACACCGGATATATGGTGATAAAGCAGGCGAAATAATACAAGGTCTGAAGAAGAATCCCTCGGTTGCGGTGCCAATAGTGCTCAAACGATTGAAAGTAAAGGAAGAGGAGTGGCGCGACGCACAAAAAGTAAGTTTTGCTATCTTTCGGTTGATACTTATGCAATCTTTTATTGAATCTTTCAATWCCAAATTATTAATTTATATGAACTTTCACGTTTTATTAGGGCTTCAATAAGCTGTGGCGTGAGCAAAACGAAAAGTATTACTTAAAATCACTCGACCATCAGGCAATAAATTTTAAACCAAACGACATGAAGGCGTTGCGTTCCAAAAATCTCTTCAATGAAATTGAAACATTATATGATGAGGTATGTAGCGACAATTAATTTTAATAACTTTTTTTTTTTACCAAAATTTTCAAATAAAAGAGTATATGTTCTCTCTTGTTTCGATTAGCGCCACGACCAAGATGATGAAAATGGTGAACCTATTACTGGACCACATCTCGTGCTGCCATATAAAGATAAGACAATACTGGATGATGCAGCGAATTTGTTAATTCACCATGTAAAGCGTCAGACTGGTATACAAAAGCAGGAAAAGACAAAAATTAAGCATATATTGCGGCAATTCGTGCCCGATTTGTTTTTCTCCGCCCGTCAACCATTAAGTGACGATGAACGTGAGGACGGTGAGTCAGTTGCTTAGCAAATGCAAATTAGTATATATTTATTCTACATAAATTCATTTAAATGTTAAATATTTATTTTTATTTCTAAATTAAACTTCTATATACATAACCTTTAAATTTTTTACTAACAAATTATTTATTTACATACTATTTGTTACATTTATTAAATATGTAACGATTCTATGCATTTAATTAAATTATATTAATTAGTTTGAATTTTAATTTGTTTTTTCTGTGCCTGATAATAATTTAGTAAATGTTTTTTTTTCTTCTTTTCTTTTTCTTAACAATCAATACATTATCATCTACATCTACATTCTCATGCACTAATAATTAAATGTATAATTAAATTTTTGCACTTTGTTATTGAATCTTTGATTTTTTTTTATTTACTACCAAATTTTTACATATTTCTGTAACACATAATCTGCAACCTCTTACTCTAAAATCATCATCGACACGCACAATTTCGTTTCACGCTTTGCCATGCTTCATATTTTTATCTGTAAAGTATTCCCATTTTTAATAGATGACARCGAAAAGATGGATGTCGATTGCAATACAACAGGTAATCGGAGCGAACGTGAGTTACATGCCAGCAGCAGTGGCTGCAAAGGGAGTAGAACATCAAGTGGTAGTACGTCGAACACCGATACAAATTGTGGTGCAATAGGCAATTCCAAGTCCGATGGCGCTATTTCACATGACAAAAATTCTTTAAATTCATCGACAGATAATAGTATTTTGTTGGAAAATCTCAAGAATGGTGAATCGAGTGCATCAGCTGTAAATAGTAATAACAGTACTGGTCAAATAGAAGTTGCGGATCACAACACTGGTAATACATCTGCGTCCAATATATTGAGCGCGGGTGAAAAAGCCACCTCCAATAAAGATTCCAATTCGTCGTCGCTGGCTAAGGGTCAAGTCAACAATATTAACGCTGTTGACGATGTGCATAGTGCAGGTCGTTCATCAGCCGAAGCAATGACCAAACCCAACAGCACTGTAGCATCTTCTACAACATCCACAACAGTAACGGTGTTGTCTGAAAATAAGACGCAAGGAAATAGTAATGTGACCGGCGCTGCTACGGTCGACAATACATGTGGACACAAGGATACAGCCGGCATCACATCATCATCTAACACAATAACACCAACTGGGTTAAAAGCTGGTGGAATGAAAGATGCAAATGAGAAAAATAATAGCAATGCTATCGACACTAGTGCGGGTACAAATGTAACAACTGCCACCTCAACTCATGCCAGTGATTGTAATTCTGTTGATYCAATAAAGATGGAAATTAAGGAGGAAACACCTGATATGGATGTGGACATACAGCTGCCACCTCATGCTGTCAGTAAACATTTGGTAAGTGTTTAATGTCTTGAATTTTGAACATCATAAAAATTTAAACAAAATATCAATAAAATAGAGTGAGAATGAAAAATGAAAATTATTAACTAGTAACAATTAGCGATTTTTCGACTCGTTGTTTGTTGGTATTGCCAACCTAAGAAGAAATTTATTTGTGTAATTTTTCTAATACACATGCATTTAAAAGTACACATTCAATATTAACTTTGCCATATTTTTTCGTTACATTATAATATATATTCTTGACTAGTAAGAAATATTTGGTGGTAAAAATCTTTTTCATGCTACACATTCTCTACGTACTTTCTCTTTAGAAATTTGTTCCCAACACCAATTTAAATATCTTTTTTTTTTTACAATTTGTGGTTTGATAATAATCTGACATTAATGTATTATAATAGGAGGAGGCGTACACACTTTTCTTTGCCAACAACAATTGGTATTTATTTTTGCGACTACATGCTATTTTATGTGAGCGGTTGTGCACAATGTACGAACGAGCGCAAATGTTGGCCATCGAAGAAGAACGTCACCGTACAAATCGCCGTGAGAGCACAGCGACAGCTTTAAGACTGAAACCGAAACCTGAACCACATGTGGATGAGTATTATCCAGTATTTCTGGAAATGCTGAAGAATGTACTTGATGGTAATATGGATTCGAATTCATTCGAGGATTCTATGCGTGAAATGTTTGGTATACATGCCTACATCTCTTTTACACTCGACAAGGTTTGTATGAGCCCATCTTTACATTCTCCATGAAATATATAATGGATTTATGGTTTTTAGGTGGTTTCGAATGCTGTCCGTCAGCTGCAAAATTGTGTCACTGAACGCGGTGCACTTGAGTGTGTTGAATTGTTTCATCATGAGCAACGWCGTGGTGGTGCAGGCAGTTATTGCCGCGATGCGCAGAAGAATTACGCCAACGAATTGGCATACCAGCGCAAAGCTGAATCTAGTTTACACGAGGAGAACTGCTTTAAAGTATATATTGTAAGTTACTACTTATTTTTTCGTTTTTTTTTGAGCAATTGATATATACTAATAAATACTTTTTTTTTTTTTTTGCTATATTTTACATATTATTAGTACAAAATTGACTGCCGTGTAACGATCGAACTGCTCGACACTGAAGTTGATGAGGCGGAAAAACCTTTAAATAAAGTGAAATCCTGGAGTAAATATGTAGATCGTTTAGCTAATCCCGCCGCGAATAGCATTAGCAGTCAAARTGTTGCAAATTTGTCCAACACAAATATGGGTGGCACCGCGAGTAAYACTAGTGCCGTTACTACCTCAAGTAACTGTAATGCGATGGGCATGCCGACCATGTCAAGCAGTCTAGCAGGTGCAAACGGCGGTGAAATTAAGCTTGAGCGCATGGATGATGACGCACTGGTGAGTAGTTAACTATTTGTGTTTTACTACTCTTATACTTTTAGATAGCATTTTCGTTTATTCTTTACATTTTGTTATATTATGTTTTTTAAATTTAATTTCTTCAATTGGCGTTTAGTTTTCTCGATAAGTATTTGGTTGAATTATTGTGTGGGAGCAATTGTTGCTAAGGGTTAAGCATGCGAATTCCATTAAAATTTACATTGCCCTTATGGAAGCTAGTGAAAATAGTTTGAGAGAAGCAAACCGTGTAAACTTGTTTTTTGTTTTGTTGTGTATAAAACAAATTGAGAAGGAGAGCAATGAATGAACGTAAGAGAGAGAGAAAGAAAGAGTTGAAATGCTATTTAACATATATTTACAAAATTTAGTGCGTTTTACAAGAATGTATGTATGTGTAGTAATAAAAAATATGATCCTAAAAATTCCGTTATAACATATTAATAGAAACTTGTTAGAACTAAAATATGTCGATAATTCAAATTGTCTTTTATTGTTACTGTAACAAAATTTTGTATTCTTGAATTCTATAATGAAAACTATGGCAGATACCTCTCCGCGTCATATAAAACTTAAGACTTTTGGGTTTCGCAGACCSAACTATCATAATATGGCCTCTATTCTCTGTTTTAAGTTTCTGTCTTAGTTTTTATTTACTATTTTAATTAAATGCAGTATTGGAGAGTATAATTTCTTTTAGCCCTGTCCTTTGGTTATAAGCTTCCTAAAGTACGCAAAATGTTTGTTTTAAATAACTAGCGCGAAGATAAATATGAGAAAATATAAATTTTCTCAATTATTTACGAATAAAATTTAAATTTTAATCGGCACATGCATTTGTAAAACAAACTTACTATAATATAGTATATTAGAAAAATGAGCTCAATCTAGGGATATTATTAGTAGCATATAGGGTTATTTTGATATGAACGGTCCCGTCCGTTTTTCCAAGTCCGCTTTTAATAAAATGCTTGAATTTACCACACCTTCYTTCTATCTCCCCTTATCGAAATCACCATTCGATCTAATATTGACACCGATGCAACATTTGTATTTATGACTTAGCCCATTTGTATACATGTACATAAATGCTATATATATTATTGGTTTGATTTGATTTGATTTTTTTTGCTCCGTTGCTTGAATGTTTTGCTGTAAAAACTTCTGTTGTGTGTTTGTGATTTTTGTTGCTTTATTTATTAAGTTTTTTGTGGTATAATTTAGTTCAGCAATGGTTCGTCCTTAAAAGTACAACTTTTACTCACCACTCTTCACTTTTGCAAACGAATAAGTCGCCTAAAATCACTAATTAATGCTTTTTTGCATTTCTTCTCATTTTTTTCAATTTTTCGTACCAGGTCAAACCCCCCAACAAGGCTTAAAAAATCAAAAACATAAACAAAAAAATATCAAAATGAGCGATTACTAATAAATAATGTAAATTAAATGATTTTAACATTTTCTTAACTAATACATTAAGGCAGAGAAAGCATAAACAAAAAATCAGCAAAAAGAAAGAAAAAAGAAAATAGCAACGAAGTGATGCATACCTAGATATGAGCATATATTTATAATCCTACACATTTTTCACAAACACATGAAACATAAATGCACATTTGTAAATTTGCAGTAAATTTACCAAAAAAGGCAACATAAATGCTTTTTTATTTTTTTCGACTTTAATTTTTATATTTATATCGCACAAACCCCAGCTTTTATGGAAGACTAGACTCTTCTTCATATTTTAAGTCTAAATTCCCCCAGAGATTTCTGTTTATAGATTTTCATTTAATTGTTTTTTTTTGTAAACGTACTGCGAAGAATTATTTATGACACGACGCATAATACTAGTGCCGATATCGCTCCACTATTTCATATAGCTGCCATGCAAAAGAGATCTATCAAAATGAAGCTAAAGGCTGATCTCTTCATGCACTTTTATACTATAAGAAATGCTCACATTGCTTGTTTTCTATTTTGTATGACTGCAATTAATCTGTTTCCCATTTTTGAAACTTCGAAGCACCCAACGTTTTTTTTTTTTTCTTTTATTTTTTTCTTTAATTCGTGTTTGTTGAGCACCTGGTTGTGATTTGTGGTTTTGTACAGGCTTTAATTTCGTAAAGATTCAATTATTCCCTCTCCGTACATACTTGAAATTGTGCGTGCTCATTATGTTGACATGACGACAAATTCTTGTAAATACATTCATACAATTATGTAAATAAAATCTAATTTTAGGTCACTTACTAATAAAGAATGCAATAAAGAATGGCACTTGTTATCCTTTGAATATAAATTTTGATTTCGGTTTTGCATAGAATCTAATTAAGAAATAAATCGTTACATCAATAAATAAATGCTAAGTTTACTTAATTGTAAAGCCAAACTAAATATAACTGTACGTGTATGATTAATATACTACGCAAAAGCAATCTGTAATTAGTTGAATAGCTTTGAAATGTAGGTAATTTTAAAGTTAGTGAGTGGCTAAGGCCAAACAGCTAATAACTTTTGGCAAATAAATATTAAATATATGCGATTGTTTTTTTTATAAGAAAAAACCTCTACTAGTACATTTACATTGCACTACAAACTTGAGTTTGACTTAATGTGTATATTTGGCGCGGTAAATTCGCGCCAAACGTAAAAAATGTCCGATGAACTAAAATTTGTGGCGCAAAGTGATGCTACTATAAACTTTAATTAATCGATAAATGGGTCGGTGCCACAATTCACAATAAATTTTTGTCGGGCGAGTATTTGTTGAGCATAAAATTCCAACATAACAAACACAAATTATACAACTGCTCTGATAATCCTTTTACCCAATGGTTGTAAAGTCCCACAATAAGGTAAGTTCAAAATGTGTGACAGCAATATTAAATCAGCTGACAAATACTTTATTATATGTTGTGGTAATTTAAAATGGAGAGAGTTGCCACCATTTAAAAATATTTTTTATTTATGTTTTTATTTTTAATGCCCGTAATTCTTTTATAAAGTGTGTGTATGTGTGTTCCTTTTGTTGTTGCTTTTTTAAATATCTTTTTCTTATACAATTTCTAACATTTATGTATGTGAATATCTTAAATGCATCCCTTTGATTTTTTTTATAATTTTTCATATTCCATATTTTTATTAAAAGCTAATTAGAGAGTGTGGTGTATAGTTGGATACCAAAATATTAAATTTTTACAAAATTTGTACGATCGCTCTAGAAATAGCTTAATTTATCGATGTGTTGAATGATTTTTTAGTTTTAGCTACTTTGTCAGGAAATCTTCTTATATCTATCTATATTTGAGGGTGAGTCATATTTTATGTAAATATATATTTAAATGTGAATAGTTGTATTTTCTTAACAAACCTCCTTTGCGAATGTTACAGTTGACAAAACAAAAACGCAAAAATAAGCTCGTTTGACCTGGTATTTACAATTTTCCATTTTCGGTCACTGTCTGAAGCGAACATTATTTCGTTCATTCATTTTACTTATAGCTTTGCGAATTATATACATTTATACATTACTTTTTGTTGTAGATTCGTTTATTTTGAATTAGCTTTTAAAATATTTTAAGTATTATCGCTTTAGTTTTAGTTATTTGCATGCATTATATAATATGAAAGCAACAAATACACCAATTACAAAAAATTTGACAAATAATMTAATTTTCTTCAACTCCTGCATCTCTTTATTCACAGGATGCGCATGTGATATGTAAAGCTCGCTTCCTCAAACGCAACAAGCGGCTGGCCTGCATGCGCGCAGATCAGCATACACGTTTGCAGCAATTAAAATCGGCGAACGCCACAACGAACACCGGCAATAAAAATGCATTAACTAAAGCTTCCGCTGCAGCAGTGGGAAATGTAGCGACAGACGCTGGTAGCGCCGGTGTCACCACAGACAGTAATGTGAATAGCAGCAGTAGCAGCAGCGATAACCAGGCGACRGCTGGCAGCGAACCGCACTGGAGTTGGAATAAGCGACCGCCAGAACGCGTTGGTAGCATTGTGGTGGGCAGCGGTGCGGAGAAGTACTTCGTCAACGACCGCGACGAAATCAAATTCAACGCATTCGGCCGGCAAGTAATAGCAATCAACAAGAATCTACAATTGTTCAAATGGGACTCGGTGCGGCGTGCAAAATTGGTGAGTGCTGCTAAAAAGCAAAATCAACGAGCACACTTTGAATAATTTTGTTTGTGTACATTTTATTTACTATTCACTCGTATCTTATAGTCACACAGTTATGTAACGCAACGCAAACACAAATTATTTCAACGTTTTACACAAAAGTGGTTGGCGGAGCACGTTAGCGAACAGGCGCAACAGCAATGCACGGACTGGCTGCTCGGCAAGACGGTGCCAAATAGCGGCAGTAGTAGTAGTAATGTCAACTGGGCGCTAAAAACCAAGGTGATACCGCAAAATGATGTGAAACGTACGCCATACCGTGTTTACAATCGTTATAAAGTGACATTCAGCGGCAATGCGAACAGTTGTGCAGACGTTGCTAGTGGCAACAATAGTGGGGTCGCTGGCGGTGGCCGTGTATCAGTTGGCAGTGTTAGTAGTAGTGGTGGTAATGCGCCGGTAGCGGATACTCATCCCACGACGACATCAACGAATACGACGCATTGTAATAGCACGGCACAGTCGCAGACGTCATCCAATGTCGGTCCAAGCAATGTCGGTGGTGGTGGTGGTGGTGTGCAGGCGACTGCAAGYGTAGCGGCGGTGACGACGCCGTCGGCTCTAACATCCACAACAGAAGCGTATAAATTAGCAACAGGTAGTGGCAATAATAACACCAGCAATAACAACAATCGACAATTGGAAAGCTGAATCTGACCGAAAAATGCGGTGAGCGCCAAACGTCGACGTTTAAGCGAACGCGCACAGGTGTGATTTACAGCAAGTAATACTAAAACAACAGCACAACAAAAAAAAAAAACACCAATTATGTAACGATAGCAGCTAAATAAAGAGCCGTCAACGGGGAAATATCGAAATTGGCGCTTTCATAAATGCAAGGCTATTTGATTTGATGCCCAGTTATGTGTATAAAATTTATTTTTCCTTTGTTCTTAAGATTATTTGTTATAAGTTTTGAATTTTTGCTATTTAACACAAATTTTAGGGATTAAGAAATACATATTTTCCATATTTAACTATAAAATTACGTTTTTTGTGTTTACTAATTTATTTTGAAAAGTAGAAAGTAGTTGTTAGGATCGAGAATAGCTGTAATTAATTTTTAAACTTACTCTACTCGGTACAACTGAGCATAATAACTACAACATAAACATACATACATAATATCTAAGTTGTGCATCTTAATTACAACTTCCGTTTGTAGGCCTAACACTCTGCATTAGATGTAGACAAAAAATGAATGGAAGAGCAGCTTATTATTAACGTGTACACGTACTAGTTTGTTATGCAACTATAAATTKAATTTAATTTATAGCAGTCAAAATATATCACTAAATAATAATCAAGAGAAACAAAAACAAAATTTGCTAAGGGTTGATAATATGTAAATATAGTATACACTTGTATATGTAAGGCAATAATCGTAGTCCACAAATCAATGCATTAAGCTATTTATTTTGGCGCGTGTAACGGAGTTAGTTTTATTTGCTTTAGATGCGGTTAATATCAGAGATATGCTTAGATTAATCGTTAAGTCTGTAAGTATGTTTTTTTTTTTATTTTTGCTTGTAAATAGCAATAATTTTGTAGAGCACAATAACACAGGTTAGAAAGGAAATAAATTATAATAATAATATGGAGTATATAATATAAAATGTGAAATTCTAACAAATAAGCATTTTTTCCTAGTTATATTAACTTTCAATTAAGAGTTATCGTGTGAATACAATTATTTTGTAATGATAAACGGATTTATTGAAAAATACTTATAATAAATGATACATTTGAAAAAAAAAAATAATAATAATAACGCTTGTATATGTTTATTTATTAAAATAGAAATCAAATTGCCTTAAGTGGAATGTATATGTTCGTAAAAGCAAGTAACAACAAAAACTTAAAACAAGAAAAAACGTTAATTTCGGCCGAATCTTTAACACACAGTCTGTATGAAGGCTAAGTGCTATAGTGGTCCAATTTGAACAATTTATGCGGAGATTGTAACATTGTCTTGGGCAATAATCTATGTCGAATTTCGTCAAGATATTTTCCAAATAAAAACGTTTTCCATATATAAAAACTTGATTTYGATCGTTCTGTTTGTATGTCAGCTATATTCTAAACTTGTGTGGTAACGGCGGACAAAGTAGCAGCATCTGGGGGAGAAAAGAGCGTGTGCACAATTWCAGATCGGAATATTAAATACTGTGGGTCTGGTTTGTATTTGAATATACAGACAGGAGATCATGTCTAAATCGCMTCACCTCGTCACGCCGATGATGTATGTATGTATATGTACAAATATTTTATATGGTCTCCGACGTTTCTTATGGGTGTTAGAAACATCGTGGCAAACTGAATGAATACACCCTGTTCAGGTTATAATGAAGCTCWTAAACGTTTCAGTATATTTTTACTTACTCGCAACAGAATATTAATTTTCACCGACAATTACTTCTCATCAGTAAGTGCAATCTGCTTGTGAWAAATTATTCATGGAATGTCGAAATATCTATAAAGCCGACTTTGAGCATAAAGTGGTAATTGGTAGTCCAGCAAAACGTATACAAAGAAGGAAAAATTTAACGTTATTGATTAWCCTTGACATTCAAATTCACATTCTCTTTGTTATTTTGACAGCCAACAAKACTTTATTCCTTCCAGTTCATGATTTCGGCAAGAGTACATACAGCGCTGCAATAAAATGATCAAAATTGCCGGCCGGTAACTTTTAGAAAAAACCAAGAAATATTTGTGGTAAAAACCAGAAACTCAAAAGGTACAGATCCTATAGTTAGTCTTTAGAGTTATACTGGTGCGGGCTTAGGCTTCTTTAATTGCTGGAATTTTTCAAACGTCGTAGTGGTTATAATGGAGAAAAATATTTAAATATTTTTGAAAGAAGTTGAATGGATCATCTTTGACCGGAAACAAACTTACTAGTTATGTTGAACCGACTGTCGTGGAATGTTTTTAAAAATTCTAAAATTTGGCTTTTCTGTGGAAGTATGTATGCAAACAGTTTAAACTGTATGTTAAATCGTTTTTGACCCTCACAAATTTAATTAGTCTCCTCTACGCCCTCTTCACGACCACAGATCACTGGTAAATTATATTTTCTTTAACCTGTTCTAATTTTTTCAGTTTTTATCATTTTRAAGGCTTTTACACTGGCCTATACACGTCATTTCCAAATGAAAATGCAGAAAAAGTTCTTTCAGTTTGGTGTTTTAGTGACTTTATTTTTTTGATGGTCTTGATGAGTTTGAAATAGGTTCTCTTAACATTTGTGTTTCCTTTTTTCCTAATATTTTTTTTACTCACTAATAACAATTTTTCATCATCATTTACAAATACAAGAGCTAATTTTAATTCAATATTTTTATTTTTGCTTATATTAAAAATAGTTTAAAAAGATGTTTTTATATTTTAAATGATGGTCAGCACTCAATCTATAAATTAAGTTTGAAAATTTTACTAAAAATGAAAAATTTCAAAGAATTTATGTCTAACCAATTTGTGTTTCATTTGGTCGAAAATCACAAATTGGCAAGCTAACAAATTTTACATACATACATACATGTTGTTCACAATTTTATAAATTTTCTTACAAATTTGCATCAGCAAARTCATACATAATAAATACTTTGCCGATATTTCCCTTGCTATTTTAACAATTTAAGCTTTTTATTGCTTTGCAGTCATAATTTGCTGCTTTTGTTTGTTTATGATAAAATACAATATGTGCAACAATTACATGAGAATATAAATTAATATTAGTATGCACGCACAAAATGTGTCAGACAAATAAAACGAAATGTCATATGTATAATTATTTTTTAAGTATTTTAAATATAGTTTGAGGTTGACTCTTGCTTTTTTTTCTTGAATTTTACTTCATTCCCAGTCCGTGCATGGTTTCAAAGTCACAATCAGTCATCCAAAATAGTAGGACAACTGCAAGCACAAAATTGCCAGCAACTTGCTGCATACTCCATAACTATTATATAATGATCAAGAAATAATCACTTTGCATAGCCTTCAACGTCGCGGGTATTATTACATAATTATAAATGAGTGTATAGCGTATATATGTGTATATTTTAAGTAAAGCGCTTTTAAGTAAAAATAGAACAAAAGTTTCGCATTTCACGTGATTACTTTCACAATTAAGTTCTGTGTAAAACAGTTATATACCATTAAAGCGTTGTTCTTAAAAATTTCCAAAAAAAAAAGTAGGGAAAACATTATGCAAATATTTAAAAATACATCTACTATATTATCTATATGAGTGAGTTGGTTGTTGATGATATTAAAATTTTGTTTGTATAAATTTAAGTAAGTATATAGTATGTATCTGTTTTGCTTACAAAATCATTTGAAGGCGTTCATAATGACTCTTAAAGTATATTGTCTATTTAATTTATTAACCCTTGGCATGACCATTAAGTACCAATTGTATATTCGATACTCCGTTCGATTGCTTTATTTTACTGCCATTAGCTGTTGTGACTTCCTCTATAATTAAATAAATAAACAGAAAAATAGAGACATGTAAATAATGTGCAATTGTGCGTGTTTTTTTGCTGACATACAATAGTATGTGCGTATAAGTATGTTTGGAGTACAGAGTTCGCAATAAAATTAAGAAGCATACATGCAAAAATTCGGCAATTTAAGAATAAATTTCATTAAAGTAGTAAGCAAATATATAAGAAGCGATTTTGTTGAAATTCAATAAAGATATTGTTTGTTAAGCGTTTAAAGAGAGAGAGAGAGGCTGGGGAGAGAAGTAAGGGACAAATGACTAACGGTATTTATAAAAAGGTAAGCACAAAGCAAACAAAAGTATT